TGTGGACATGAAAAACAGTACTAGAATTGAGGAGTTTAAATATAAATATAAAAGTATGTGTCATTCAAGATATATGCAAGAATGAGAGATTTAATCAAGAATGCTCTGTTTTAAATTTTCTGTATATTACTTGTCTGGTGAAGAAGAGAATTACCTATGTAGAGATACTGCTTGCAGCCAATGATGCATGAAATTTTTTGTATAAGATGATGTTATGGGGTAGGACTGGATAAGTCTGACTTCTTCCTACTCCATTCAAACATGTACTAGGTATAAGCAAACTGATTCTGAATTAGCATTGGTTGGATCTGTGTAATCATGTGTGTGTTGATGTCATTTGTTCTGCATGTTTGAAAGAATAAATCAAATCAAATCAAATAGGTGGGGCTCCTCCATTTGTATCCTGGTGTATAAACTCAACAACATGGACTACTGAAGCCGTCTATGACAGCAAAACAGATGCACAACATTTACAAAGTCTGTTTTACTTGTTGGGGATCTGATATTTATACCCTCTGCCGTCTAGCTACCATGATCTGAAACTTGTTTTGAAATTGAAATCTTGTAATTAAATGACACATTTGTCTGAAGCACTTCTGCCTGCTGTAAGATTCATGTAACATTTGGTAACTTGTAAAACTGTTGTTTTCTGAAATGCTCCTTAAGCTCCAAACAGGAAGAGCCTGAACAGCAGCTTTGTCTATTTCACTTAATTAAACAAAATATTGCCAACCTTAGCCTTCCACCAACACATCTTACCTTGATGAATGAGGAAAATATCACCTGTTTTTGTTGTTGTCACTACCTAACGTACCTTATATATAAAACTGTTTGGCTTTTCCTTTGACGGTGACGTGCATATACAAGAAAGGAAGCAGTGACTGTTGCATGGCCAGCAGTGCTTAGCCTCTTAATAGAGCAGGGGAAAAAGTGAATGAGAATTTTATTTGTTTGAATGAAGTAGAGGTTTAAAAAAGCAAGACTAATACCGTTGTACTTTTAATGTTTATAAATTACTTCAGGTAAATTAAAAGACAGTGTTCAACATTAAATCAGTGTACACTTATACCGGGTGGGCTACGGAAAAGTAGCCTGTGTACTCGTATTGCCTGTTGCACTGGTATTGGAGGCAGGCTACTTTTCCGTGGCCCACCCTGTACATTACATCCATCAGAAATGGTGGTCAGCAGCACAGGGGCCAGTGCTCTCCCCCGCCCTATTCACCCTGTACACCACAGACTTCAATACAACTTGGAGTTGTGCCACATGCATAAGTTTCTGATGGCACTGCAATTGTGGGGGCAACTGCAGGATGGACAGGAGGATAAGTACAGGAGCCTGGTGAAGGACTTTGGTTTGGAGCTGTTAAAATGTAGGTGGTTAGATTTGCACCATGCCACAAAGAGATGGTGGTAGACCTCCAGAGGCCCAAACCCCACCTGAAGCCAGTGTCCACTGAAGGGGTTTGTGTGGAGGTCATCCAGACCTACAGGTACCTGGGTCTTCAACTGGATAGCAAACTGGACTGCCTGGCCAACACATATACATTGTTCAGAAAGGGACAGAGCCGGCTATACTTCCTGAAGAGTCTGGGGTTTTCCAACATCTGCAAGAAGCTGCTACAGATGTTCTACCAGTCTGTCATCACCAACATCCTTTTCTGTGCTGTAGTGTGCTGGGGAGGCAGCATTAAGAAGAGAGGACCAACTTGTGCCTTCACCTTCCACATCTTTTCTAGCTCTTCTTTCAGCCCTTGCTATTTCCCGAGCTTCTTGTGTTCCTTCTTCCTGATGTTGCTATTGCTTGGGATAAATATATATACACACACATTATCTTCCTAGTTGAAAAATTATGCATTTGTTACGTAAATATTAATAATAAATATGGTGCATGCTCACTGCTGATGTGAAACTAAACACACATAAGTTGATTTGCAAATCAACACTTACCTAGGGTGAAATTTGATTTGGGGACTTGGGTTGAATGTTGGATTTATTTAAATGACTACTCTTGGTAGAACCACTTTTTGACAGCTCAGGTAAATTATGATAAGAAACCAAGAATCCAGCACAAAGCAAGGTTGCTATATTTACACAAAATTTATTCAGCCATGTAGTTAGTAGGCATTGTATGTGATTTGCAAATGGAAAACAAGATTTTTCACTTTCCTGAAGTCACTGTAGGAAATACAGTAGCCATATTTACAAAAATTCCTGGTGAGTTGGACTTCAGAAAATCTAGTGCAGTTTTGCGTAGCTTCTTACAAATACACAACCTAATATTCATGCATGGGAAAAATATATATCCTGCTGGGCAATGTGTCAAAACAATGTATCAAAAGGCTGATCAAGCTGACAGTGAAAATACATAATAAAACAAAATCAATGTCAATGTATTGAAAAGAGTCAGTTGCAGTATCTTAAGAACAAACCATCCTAGTGCTAACATATTATAACTATTACTGCAGAGATACTGGAAGGGGAGATCAACTGTTTTTGTTACTGTAAGGTTAATAATGTTTAATGTTTGTTTAAGAATTACCTCCCATTTTTCATCATGCAACACATCAATGTGAACGTTACTGTATGCTGGTCACTGAAGGACTTTGTTAACGGCTGTCTGACACTGTGTCACAGGAAGCTCCAGTCTCTCACACACTGTCAGCTTCAGAGTTAAATGCTGGGCTATCTCATTTGGATCAGTGTATAGTGCAGCAGGAACATTCTGAAGGAAAAAGAAGTATCTGTATTAATATTACCACAAAAACAACAACAATTAAATTTAGCACATCACTGGACATTTTAAATATGAAGAGTTAGGCATAAAAGTTCAAATGTACTGTATATTCTGCTGACAAGGGCTTAACATAGTCTGGTGACAAACATAAGCCCGGCACCCCAAGTCTTCCAAACATCAACTGTATAAAATATGGACACCATGACAGCTCCCAGAAGTAAAGCTACCGCAACTCAGTCAACCCCTGGTTGAAAATGTTGTGAGCTATGTTTGTTACATATATTTGTAAGGTGTAAGCATCTTCAGTGATACAGTAAATACCATGGATGTGAATAATATTGTATTATATGTAGTGTTTTGATTAAGATAACTACTCCTGCTGTGTTACTGTGATGATAATAATGAAGTACATCTGCTTAAATACTCTGCATAATTATCCTTACTTGATGGGAAATAAACATTACATCATGACAAGGTGATGAAGTACTACTGAATAACTACTCAGTATACTGTATGTATCACTTTACTTGAGAGGGCACATAAATGGTGTGTAACGATGAGGTAATAATGAAGTAATGAGGGACTACTGACACATGACAGAATGGATCACTGCCTGAGGAGGACACAAGCTGTACAGGTAATGGAGAGGTGAGGGGGTCACATTACAACAGACGAAGTAGCAGGTCTACTTCCTCAGCTAACTAATCAGTAAGATGTAGGAGTATTTAAGGTTTCACAAAAATAACATGTTTAAGTAATAAGTAACGAACGAGCTGTTACTATTTTCTGCCCGACAGTGCTTGAATGACAGGTAATTAAGATAGAGTCATGAAAAAAGTGGGCAGTATGATCGACTAATCACAAACTAATTGTTACCTAATGAGTTACTGGTATAGTGTCTCCCAGTCGGTTCTCTAGTAACTAATATAGTCCTACATTAAGAGGTTATCAGAGAAGTACTTATGACTGGCGCAGATCAATGCTCATGCATTTCTCACACGTCCCTCACTCGTTCTGAAGTATGTAAGCATTTTTGTATGCCATATTATAAAGTGTTACCCTGGCTCTTCATAACAGAGATCACTTTCTCAGGCCTTTTCCAAAGGCTGTCCTCATAAGAATAAAGTCAGTGGTACATGGACATAACAAATGCCGTCATTGTATACTTATGTGTCGACATTGTTACGTTCCAAACAGTTGAGAGAAAGGACTTTAAAGACATGATCAAAGCACTGGATCCAAGGTATGTGGGAGAGGTGGGAAGTAAAGTACTCATACTTTGTTACTGTACTTAAGCAGATTTTTCACGTATCTGTACTCAATTTTTTTCAACAACTTTTTACTTTTACTCCCTGCATTTTAACAAAAATATCTGTACCTTCTACTCCTTACATTTTCATATCAGACTCATTACTTTTAGTTTTAATACATTTGAAAGGAATTATCAAGCATTTTTATTTAGCACTTAATGGAAAATATGCACACCACTGCAGTAAATGGTCTGGTCTTATGCTTGTATAGCGCCTTTCTATGCTTTTTACAGCACACTCAAAGCGCTTTCACATTATTCGGCCATTCACCCATTCGCACTCCCAAGCACTCATGCATTCACACACCGGTGACATCACCGGGAGCAACTGGGGGTTCAGTCTGCAGTGGGTGACATGTTCCTTGATTACAGCTTCTCACCAAAAAGGGTTTGAAATCATTTAGGAAACATTATTAGTAGCCATGTGACATTGTAGTTTATATGGATATAAATCTAAATTAGGAACATACAGTGACAAAGGAAAAACAACAACAAAGTGTCTTAGTAATGTGGGACACCATATGCAGTCAGAACAACTTCAGTGCACTTTGGCATTGGTTCTACAAGTCTCTGGAACTCTACTTGGTGTTTTGATGATGGTGGTGATGTGCAGCGCTGTTTAAAACGTCAGTCAAAATGTCCCATATGCCTTCAGCTGGGTTGAGATCTGGTAAAAGCCATAGCATATGATTTACATCACTCAAACCAGTCAGTGATGCCATGCCAGGGGGGACAGTTCAAGGACCCCACCTCTCAACAATTATATGGATAACAATCCAGTCCCATAAATTAAGACTAGGTAAATGATTTTGACTGCATTTTTAAGAGTCAATTTAGAAGTAAAAATAAAATAAGCATTTAAAAATAACTTTTTTTTTTTTTTAAGATAGGCTTTCAGACACCTTTGTGCCAACTGACATAAAAGGCAATGCACCATGGACAAGGGACTCGTAGCAGGGACAATATATTGAGTTTGTCCTCCAAAAGGCAATAAATGAAACATTTTTGGAAACTGTTAACACTGTTTCACAAATTTTCCAAAAACAAAATAGTGATATTTTGCAGGCAAGCAAATACCTATATACCAGTGCTTCTGAGAGCCTCGCTTCACTCAAGGGACAGTTTCACAGCCACAAAAAACAGCCCTAAATCTTATAATGTGCTGTAGACAAGATGAAAGGCTACTGTATGTGGATTTACACTTGAAAGTGTCTGTATTTCATGCAGCTGTACACAGTGAAATTACACACTGACTAACATGCATGTTACATGCATGTAAGAGATGGCATGAAGGTTTGGGTTTTTACACCTTTTATGAAAATTAGACAAGGACATGTACAAATTAGCAACTGCATTTGCTGACCAATACAAAGATGATTTATCCGTGACTTCTCCAGAACAAATGCTGCCATTTAGACATGTATTACTATTGAGAAAATCTAGCATGCCTCACTTCAAAACCTGGTACAGTCTGCTTTATTCATAAAGCATCTCTCTACTCTGCCTAGTGTGCCCAAGGTGGCCACGGCTATTAAGCTGTTTCTCACTCTACCTGTGACTGTTGCAAACACCAAAAGATCCATCTCAAACCTTAAAATGAATCAAAACCTAACTGAGAAACACTATGACAGTATTGAAAATAAATGCATTCACAGCCTTGACTTAAAGACAACAGTATTTTTGTTCATCAATATGCTAAAATCAGTTTCTATCACTTTCCAAGTTATATCAGTTTTGAGTTTTTTGTTTTGAGTGGCATATTTCAAAGAATCATGTTACATGGGAATTGGCAGTTCTCAGAGGCACTGTTTGTTGTATTTGGCTAGAAAAATAAGATTGAATTGAAGTGCATACCTAGCACAAGTGGCACAGCTAGGATTCAAACCAGCAATTAAAAATTAAGATAAACTAACTGGCACCGTCTAAGACACTAAGCTGAAGCCCTGGCAATGATGGACTGCCTGGAAATCATAAAAACAAACCTACATTTAATGTGGTCATGATCAGAGGGCAGCACTAGACCACAAATGAAATGAAGATTTTGCCAATATATGATTTTTCTTTTTATGTGAAATATGGCTTCACATTTCCTACATTTTAATGAAAATAAAACAGATGTTTTATTTCAACCCAGTGGTGTTTGTGAACCCCCAGATGTGGACCTCTGGTTTTGGGAACCTTTTGTTAAGACCTTGAGTGTCACATTGGACAAAGATTTGAAATTTGACAAATAAACTCAGTGGTTAAAGCTAGCTTCTCTCTGCTGTCTAAGGTTTTGAAACAAAAAACATTTCTGGACAGGTCATGCATGCTTTTATTTCAAGCAGACTGGACTATTGTAATGCCAGTATGTCAGGCTTCACTACCACGCTTGCAGCTAGTGTCGAAGTGTCCTTGGGCAAGATACTGAACCCCTCATTGCCCCCAATGGTTAGAGCTGTCGGTTGAGGTGGCGCCGCAGATGGCTGCCATCGGTTCTGCACCGGAAACAAATTCCTTGTGTGTAACATACTTGGCCAATAAAGGTGATTATCCTTATCCTATTATGCTTTTTTTAGATATTGGTAAATTGTTAGACCTTAATGCAGGGGTGTCAAACTCAATCGCACAGGGGGCCAAAACTCAAAGCACACATTAGGTTGCGGGCCGAACAGGATAAAAATTTATTGATCAGACTAAAACTAAAAGTTTTTTGAACATAAATATGAATCAAAACAGACAGGATACAATATTATTCCAAAATAAATAAACCTGAACTTAAAATCAGCAACTGTATTTCTGCTAAGGCTTACATTTGCAAACACCTGCTTTTTGTCTGGACACAAGACGTCGCACACTTTCATCATGCATCTCTTCAGAAACTCTCCCTTGGTAAATGGCCGGGCTGATTTGGCTATCTCCTCTGCCGCAATAAAACTTGATTTCACAGCAGCTTCACTGTGTGATTTCGCTTTGGTGAAAACATCTGCTGTGATGTCAGATTCCTCTTCAACTCTTCTACCTTCTGTAGCTTCTGCTCTGCATTCACGTTTTTCAGCTTGTCCTGATGTTCTGTTTCGTAGTGCCATCTCAGGTTATATTCCTTAATTACAGTCACATTAACTCCACAAATAAAACACATGGGTTCACCGGCAATGTCAGTAAACATATACTCAGCCTCCCACCAGTTTAGAAAGGCTCTGTTTTCAGAATCAACTTTTCTCTTGGCCATTGTTAGGGGCTAGCTTTGACTTGAAATTAGGGTTGTATACATCAACAGATGCTTGTTTGATCTGACGTAACTGACGCGGGAATGATTGCAGGTAGCCTATTGTTCGGTAAGGCAGCTGTTGCGCTGCACTATGGGATTTGTAGGTTGTGTGTTATCGGCACTTCATATCGCCGGGCCATTAAAAAAAAAAGATATATAAAATGATCTCGCGGGCCGGATGTAATTGTACGCCGGGCCGGATGTGGCCTGCAGGCCTTGAGTTTGACACATGAGCCTTAATGTGTTAGTAATGCAATTTAGTAAGATTCAAAGTTTGCTCTTGTCTGTTCTGTTTCAAGGTTAGCAGACAGAATGTTGATTCTGAAAAGTGAACCATGGCACCAATTGTTTTCTTGTATTAAATCTGATGTTAGAATATTATGTCTGAATAAATGAATGAATGCCTTACCTATGCACCACATGACAACAAACACACACACTGAGATTCTTCATTTTGTTATGACTAGGTAGAAACACAGCGGCTCCAAGCATGTGGAGCTCTAGATAAGAGATGGAGCCTGGGGACTGAATTCATCTGGGGTTTTACAATCTTTCTGTGTAAGGGGTTAGCCCAAAACTTATAAATGTATGAGGCTTGGTGTGGCCAGGAACTCCTTTTTCCAGCAGCCAGTGTGGGTGTTTCTGGAAGAGGGAAGAACCCGGGTCGTGTTTGTAATTTTTACTTGTGGTTTAAAAGAAATCAGCACTAAATGAAGAAAGATGGACTCCGTCGTTATTCAGAGCTGTCCAATTAAAGAACCGGGGTATTACATTTACATGGCCAGACCTTTTATGCCTTTTGAGACATCGTGCCACTGGCAGTTACTGCATTGTCTACATTTTTTTCATTGTTAAATCAAGGTTGTGAGATCCATGCTCTAAAAAAGAGAGTTGCTCTCAGTCTCACTCTTTTATTCCCTCCGAGTAGTAGCCTATGTCGGAAATTCTTCCACGTTAGTGCCAGTCTTAAGATCAGATAAGATAATCTTCTATTATCCCCACGGACAAATCTTTGTCAGGCCAGTAGTACATACACAGTCACTGCAACATTACCCAAAAACCCACTAATAACTGGAAATAAATAGTTAAAATAGACTGAAAAGTGGGCACAATACTCATCTGACATGGCTACGGAAGACTGAAACAGTTCTTCAAATACGTGAGAGTGAACGATTCATTGATTCAGCAGTGGTTACTGTACAAGCTGCCAACAGACAGATAACAAGGATTACATCAGGTGTAGAGCATCCAGGCACAGACCTGGCTGACATGCTACCCTTGACCTGTCACAGCAAGACCGGAGCTGTGGCGGCCCCCACATCAGCCCTCCCTGAGGATGCCTCCTACTGGCACAGCCGTGGAGCTAGACCGAAATCATCAACTCCAGCAAAGGCTTGGTCTGACATCATCCGTGGCATAGGTAAACCACATAGGAAATCTTAAAGGAGGGCACCAGTGCTCACCCCACCACATGAACTCCCAATGCAAAATAGGTTTGAGCCACTGACTCTTGCTGAACCCAGAGAAGTTAGTCACACCACCAGCACTAAAGACAACTAGGCAGAGTTAGAAGTGATGCTAATTCCAAACCTGACACACGAGACACTATTCTCACTGGGGACTCTATAACTAAGTATGTAAAGATGGCTAAAACTGAAAATCTAACTGTGGCCAACACATCTGTCAGGGAATTAGCAGAAGCTGTCAGTCATTCTCTCTGCACATCTAAGCTATATGAAGACTATTATCCATGCTGGGTCTTCTGACATTCTGTGAAGGAAAACTGGCTCTGAAATCATAAAAAAAAACTGTTACTGGACAAACTGAACAACTATCAGTCACAATGTGTTTGGCTCCATTCCGTGTTTTAATAATATAATAATAATAAAATTTATTTGTAAAGCACTTTCCAACTCGAAAGCACAAAGTGCTACATCGATAAAATAACAGTTCACAACAATCAAGGCTAAAAGAGAAACAAAAGACAAACAAGCACTCATATAGCACAATTTCACTCGGTCTATTATCACAAAAAGGGACTCAAAGATAGTGGTCATACAAGACCAATAAACAAGCTAAACATTAAAAGTTTGTTTGAAAAGATACGTTTAGAGCTGACTTGAAGCCTACAAGCTCAGTTATAGAGCATATATCTAAGGGTAAGGAGTTCCACAATCTAGGGCCATGCACAGCAAAAGCGCGACCTCCCCATTTCTTATAGTGTGCAGGGTGAACAAGGAGGGTGAGGTGACCTGACGACCGTAGAATTCTGCAAGGGACATATCTGGACAGGAGGTCTGATAAGTACAAAGGGGCAAGGCCGTGTATGGCTTTATAAACATAGAGCAAGATCTTGAACTCCACTCTCCATTTTACGGGCAGCCAATGGAGAGACAACAAAACTGGGGTGATGTGGGCATGCCGACGAGTGTTTGTAAGCAAACGGGCGGCCGCGTTTTGGACCAGTTGACTGGGACAAACCGGCATAGAGGGCATTACAATAGTCAAGCCGGGAGGTCACAAAGGCATGGATGGCTTTCTCTAAGTCGGTACGAGACAGGGATGGTTTTACCTTAGCTAGCAATCTTAACTGGTAGAAGCTAGTTTTTATCACCGACTTAATCTGTCTATCAAAGTTGAAATTCGCATAAAATATTATTACATCTACAGTATATCACTTATTACATTTTTTTATTTAATTGACATTACTTTGTAAAAACCTGTTTTCACTTTGACATTAAAAAATGTTTTTGTAATTTTTTTGTCAAAAAGCCAAATTATATAACCATGATTGATTTATAAAATCAACAAAAGGGTAAAACATCCAAAGGGATTAATGCTTTTTATAAGCACTGTATATTAATATAATACGATTATTATTAGTTATATTGAAGCAACATCTCAAGACATCAGCCAGAAAGTTAAAGCCTGTTTGCAAATGGGTCTTGTCCAAATGGACAATGACCCCAAGCAGACTTCCAAAGTTGTGTCAAAATGGCTTAAGGACTCAAGGTACTAGAGTGTCTATCACAAAGCTCTCACCTCAGTCCAATAGAACATCTGTGGGCAAAACTGAAAAAGCATGTGCAAGCAAGGAGGCCTCCAAACCTGAACCAGTTCCACCAGTTCTGTCAGGAGGAATGGGATGAAAGTCCAGCAGCTTATTGTAAGAAGCTTGAGTGAAGTGTAGGACCTCCAGACTGAAAAACTCTTTCTTTCCCTCTGCCATCAGACTCCTAAACAGCTGAGGAGTTTGTTACCAGGACATATGTGATGTGGCACATGTATAATTGCACATTGACTGTTGACTGCTGCACATGCTGCTCCCATGCAGTATACATTTTCTTATTATATTCTTATATATTTTTATTATATTGCTGCATTTGCTGCTTAAAGCACCTTAGATTTTGCGTTATTTATCTACTTTATATTTCATTTGTATTTTGTGGCATTCATGTGGACGGCAAAGTAAGAATTTCATTGTACAGGGAAACACGTTTCCTAACTGTGCATATGACAAATAAACACTTTGACCTTGACCTTGAAGGTGTTCTGTAATGTTTGACCCAAGTTAACCAATTTAAAGTCCCACCTCCCAAGTACAGAAGTCCAACCGTGCATATTCAGTATTGAAAAAAGCTCCATGATTCACTGGTAAATGGTATTTATATAGCGCATTTGTCCACAGTGTCTTGCACTGGCCAAAGCGCTTTACAGAAGATGATACACCATTCACCCTTTCACACACAACATTCACACACCGATGACGACAGGCTGCCACACAACGGCGCTAGTCAAGCCACCGGGAGCAATTCGGGGTCCAGTGTCTTGCTCAGGGACACTTAGGCATGCAGGGAGACCGGGAGTCGAACCACCAACTTGCTGGTCAGGAGACAAATGCCCTACCTAGTGAGCCACAGCCACTGGGTTTGCTAATCTACAGGTTGCATGTTGAGAATGATGTTCCGCTGTCAATTCCACACAAATTACTTTAAAATGTACCTAGGGAAGCATGAGCAGGGCCCTGGCCAGAACTCTGCAAATTCCTGTTTGTAGTTTGTTATCACTGCATAGCTCACCTTGAGTTCATCGATTCTGCTTTCCCTTGTGCTGAATTCTCGTAGCATGTAATTCTTTCCACCCTGGAATCAAAAACAGCATAAACATTCATTACACATTAGAGCAGGGGTGCCCAATACGTCGATCACAATTGATCGGTCAATCGCAAAGGTAGTGTTGGTAGATCGAGTGCCATTCAAAAATAAATTAGATGTATCCGGCGTAAAACACGTGCCAAATGTTAACATGCAAATGGTCAGTGTGACGATTCGCTATGGCAACCCCTAACAGGAAAAGCAGAAAGTGACAATCAATCATCCATCCTCCCTATGGCATTTGCTACTTGATTTGACATGCAGGGCAGCCAGTCTGAGATCTTGTCTTTTCTGACACGAGTCACCAAGCATGCATAGTCAACCGCACGAGCTACTGCAAAACTCCAGTGAGCAAACTACCTTATCAGCCTTTGAATTAAAGGGTATAAAATGAGTGCGGAATGGGAGGAGGACTTTTTTTTTTGCGACGTTATATTCGAAATGCGTTTGCTTGATCTACTAATCTACCATCACTATTCTGAAGAAGGGAAATGTGGAGCGGCACTTCCAGACTGTTCATAAAAACTACGACACTCATACATATATTTTGTGTGTGTGTGTGTGTGTGTGTGTGTGTGTGTGCGCACGCGCATAGGCCGGTCATTTTGACTTGGTAATTTGAAAAGTAGCTCGCAAGGCGAAAAAGTGTGGGCACCCCTGCATTAGAGCCTTTACTATAGTCAGTGGAATGATTTCTTCCTCATTTAAATTCCATTAATAGCTCATTATAAAAGGTCGGCACTGCACTTTGTCCGGACTGGAGTAAACCAACTTGCCTCATGATAAAGTCGTGTGTCATTTATTCTGATCAGCACTCCATCCACTCGTAAGAAGAAGCGCAGCAACAAGAAGAAACTGGTGGGCATCACCCTCTGCACAATGAACAAGATGCCCACTAACATGTTACACTGCACAGTCATGCTCACAAAACATTTTAATTCAAGCTGTATGAATGTCAGTGTTTCCCACAGATAGGTCGCCCAGGTATATTAATGGCTACTCAAGTATATTTTGGGCTCCCATTTTTATTATTGTATATATTTTTCATCTTTCCCAGACAATGACGAGATCTGCAGTTAACAAGAGGACAATTTCCTCTCGCTCCACTGTTTCCAGGTTAGCACACTGTACATCGCTGCTTTTCAATATCGACTGCTTGTGCATGAGGATAATGTTAAGGCTAATTCTTCAACTCTGATCCTGAATATATGCTCACTCTGTTCAAAGGAATCTTGAAAAATATTTTCCTAGGCTCAAAATCACTTGTCCTGGCGCAAAGAAATTGTGGACCAGAGGTATCAACAAAACAGTTCACATTATAAACTTAAGAAAACACACTTGAAAAAGTCCAACCAGTGTAATTAGTCATCCATTTAATTAGTTTTGAACTGTTAGATATTAATAAATCAGTCAGATTATTATACATTAATGTGCTGAATCAAATGTATTAGTAATGCAATTTAGTAAGAATTAAAGTCTGCTCTGTTTCAAGGTTGACAGATAGAATGTTGATTCTGAAAAGTGTACCTTGACACCAATTGTTTTCTTGTATTCATCCTGTGTTAGAATTATGTCTGAGTGAATGTTTTAGTTATGCACCATTTGACAACACACACACACACATCAAAATTCTTTGCTTTGTTATGACTAGTGCTCAAAGCATGTGGAACATAAGATAAGAGATGGAGACATCAGACTGACTCCATCTCGTGATGTTTTGTAATCTTTTTGTGTAAGGGGTTAGCCCAAAACTTATAAATGTATTCTCTGTGCTTCCGGGGCTCTTTTTCCCGTGAATGTCTGGAGGAAGGAGCCACCCAGGTTGTGTTTTGTAATTTTATTTGTGGTTTAAAATAAATCAGCACTAAAATGAAGAAAGACGGACTCCTTCCTTATTCAGATCTGTCCAATAAAAGAATTGAGGTATTACAGAACATTTCCAGGTTTCACCCAGCACTGCCGTGGCAGCAGTAGAGGGTCAGGAAGAAATAGCTATAGTTAATGAAGAGAGAGATGATGGAGAGAAGGAAGAGCACCGCAGCAGTAAGTGCAGATGAAAGAGTATAAGAATGCAGTATCTGTCAAAGGAGGTGTGAAGTGACAGGTGATTTATTGCCCCCACTAGGTCCTGTTCCCTTGTCACACACCTCACTTCCACCTAGATCAAAGGGTCATAAAGTTTTATTGTTAATTATGGTCACATTAAAGGATTTTGTAATTAGGTGTTAGAAATTTAACGAGGTTTACATTTCACACATACCTGTTAGTTTTCACTGACAAAGTTCTAAAGGGGTAATTTATGGTTTTATGGGTTTCTTTGTGAGGAAAAGGCCCGTCTTGAGGGTTTAAGTGCTGGAATGCCTCAAGCCTAATTTTGTAAGATTTAACACCTGATTAATTCCCTTTTCAAAATGTCTGTAATTAAACATTAAATTAAGATTGTAAACTAAATGATTCTCTGATTATTGCAGGGAAAAGCAACTGTTTCTCCCACTTGTCAAGGTTTGGTATGCTTCAAACCTTGTAAAGTAAAATCTTTTTTCAGAAATTCAGTAATTAAATAAATGTTAAATTTAGAATAAAACAAGGCAACAAGTCTCATGATTTATGCTTGGAAATATGGCTGTTTCAACCCCTGTATATTTTCATGTAAGAACTTTTCCTAAATTTTGATAAGGGTATGGATTAAAACCTAATAAATCTGAATAAAACAAATGTAACTCTATAAATCAATATTAAACAAATAACTATTTCTCATGATTTAAGGGTTAGCGCAGCAAAAAAATTAGCATCTCACCCTGAGGCTGGTTTGGTTTAACTTTTTTTTTAAATACATGTATTAAATTAAAGCTTGAATAAAACAAATATCCCTCTTACTCTCTAAAATAAACAATGCACCTTAACACATGTTGTATGAACAGTATGTTTTAAAATGAAAACTTAGCATAACTTACGTCAAACAGGTACCATAAATAAGTCCAATATGTAGCATAAAATATATTCCACAAAAACCTTTGGGAACCGCAGGCTCATTTTCCTTGGTCCCTAGCGCTTCACATGCAGCTTGCTTGTACACCTCCAACCACTCCTTCATGTTCTAGTGCAACAGTGACCATACAGTCTTTCCCCCCAGACAGGAATGAGTTACAAGTGGCCTGGTCACAGGGTTCCAATGAGTCCTTCAACAGCGGTCGTATGGTGAATCAGCAGCTCTGAGAGCAGGAATATCCAAGGTTGCAGTACCCTTCTACTGCATATTTTTCTCCATAGCCTGTGGTTAACCAGCAGTCTCTGCAATGCTAGCTATAGGAAAAATGACAAGTCATCCCCTCACAAACTTACCCACAAACTGTCCACCCTGGGTCTGCACCCCACCCTCTGTGACTGGCTCCTGGACTTTCTGACTGGCAGGCCCCAGACTGTCAGGATTGGCAATAGGACTTCAGCCAGCATTATTGAGAACATCGGCATCCCACAGGGATGTGTCCTCAGTTCCATTCTCTACATCCTGTTCACCCACGACTGTGTCGCCTCCCACAAAGACAACATCATCCTAAAGTTTGCGGACGACACCGCAGTGATAGGTCACATCACTGGCGGG